TGTGTTAGTTTCTGACTTGTATATTAAGCCTTTAAGGGGGGCACCACAAGACATTCTGTTCTTGCTGTGTAACACCAGTGTTGTTAGTAGCAGGGGATGGTCAGCCGTGGAGGGTCCAGAGACCACATCTAACCCCCATCTCTTTTGAGGACTGTGCTCAGGGCAGATGGAACTCTCTCTAGTTGGTGAACGGAAGGCACGGAAGCCACCAGTTTTGGGGTCAAGGTAAATGTGGGAATCTGTGCACCTGGAAACATTCTTTTCACACACACTGCAGGCAATAAACATCAAGTGGGCAGGGCAGGGGAGTGAAATGGCTGGGGGTACCTTGAAGTGGAACAGCACGTCACCTTTGTGAAGGAATGAACTACTGCCTTTCTCTCTCTCTTTTTCAATTAGGTTTTGAAAAAGGCGATTCCCACCTTTAAAAGATGCAGAGGGGAAATATAATGTTATTTATTTATTTAAAATATTTATATCTCACCTAAAAAAGAACTAAGGTGGCTTACAGTATTATAATAGACAGCATTAGAAGCAAAAAACAATAAAATATTGGAATATTTTTAAAAGAATTAAACAAATATAGTATTAAAATTAGCAGATAAAATATTTGTAAAAATGCATTTAAAACAACAATGAAAACACAACAGTCCTATTTAAAAACTCTCTTTAGACAGCCAGTCACTACAAAAAAAGCCTGCCTCAACAGAAAGGTCTTGGGCTGCTTGTGGGACGACAGCAAAGAGAATAGAAAGGGAAATGGAATTGCAGTAGATGTTAAAAAATACACATTCCTGCACAGAAATACAGGAGGAGGAGATTGGCTGCCCCATTGAGAGCATCGGGATCAATGTAGTTGGGGCGAAAAACAAAAGGAACATGGTAGTTAGAGTTTACTACTGATTGCCCAATCAAGGAGAGGATGCGGATGAAACTCTTGAAAAACAAATTGCAAGGATTTCAAAGAGACACAATGTAGCAGTGATGGGAGATTGCTGATAACTGTTGGGAGGCAAATTCTGCCATGTATGACCCTTGCAAGAAATACCTGGCTTGCGTGCATGATAATTTTCTCCTACAAAAAGTGGAAAATGAAACTAGAAGACTAGTTACCCTTGAGTTGATTACAACCACACTTGAGATGACTTGGTGGAGGAAGTGGCAGGTAAGGGGGAACTCTGGGCGAGAGTGACCATGTTCTAGTAGAATACCTGATTTCAAAGGAAACTAAAGTGTAGCCCCCGCATAGGTATGTATATGCTCAATTTTTTAAAAGTTAGTTTTAATAAACTCAGAACAAGAATAAGCAAGGTCCCATGGTAAGAATCCTAACAAAAGGCTTTTAATTGAAATAATATCAGCTGTGGGTCTCGTGGCAATTTTTGGAGTATATATTTTTAATTGCATTTTAATTATTTTGCCCTTTTATTTTGCCTTTTTATTGTATTTTAAATGTTGTAAGCTGCCCAGAGATCTTCGGGTAGTGTGGGCGGTGTAAGCTATCCCCCATCTCCAAGGAGATCCGGGGTGCCGGAGAATGGAGAGATTCCAAAGTTTAGTCAGTCCTTTAGGAGCTA